TAAGTATTATCTAAAGCCTAAAACGTACTGACCATTTAGCCACTCGGGCACTGCCCGAGGGCCCGGGGTCAGTAGGGGCCCCATGAGATGCCCCTGGTACCTTTCATAGGCTTTTGTGGGTGTGGTTTGAGTGTGGGTGAGAACACAGGGGCCCCATGAGTTGTCAGTCCGCCCCTGAAACATACTATATTATCGGTTTGTGTCTCCGGGACCCCATTAAGTTCTCCTGCTCTGTACTACAAATCTATGGGCAGATGTACATGGTATTGCCTGATTGGAACCAAGAATAGATTTACTCTAAATTTCTGTTGTGTCCCCAAGGCAGTAAAGGAAAATCTTCTCTAAAGTTAGATGATGCCATTTTCTTTCCTGCAACCACAGGAGAACACAGTGATTACTGCTAGCAGCTACAGCCGTTAGCAAAAATTGTAAGAAAAGTCAGACAGGCCAGTTGTATCCAAGTTGTACAATAACCGATATGGGTACAATCAGCCTCTTATATATGGATCGAATCCTGGCCAGTCTCTGCTGTACCAGCCAGGATTTGAACCATCTATGGCCGATTAGTGTTTAATTTTTTTATCAATTCCCAGTCTACCAAAAGAAAAAGAAAAAAAAGAACAAAAAAATTATTCATACACTAATGCCTCAATGTTTATGACTTATATGTATCCTAAACGTGTCTGCTCCTAACAAGCCAAGTACATCACTTGTTTCACAGGATACATGAACATTTCAAAGTTGGCACATTAAAATATCTAGAAAGACTGATGTTATTTCTGGTTTTTGACAAACAATATGAAATGTGGACTAAAAGTACAACTAGAACTTGCTTAAAAGTCTTCAAAATAGATGTGTTCCTTTGGAGCCCCTTAGTTCCTTTACCTAGGCTGGCCATGGGGATTCTGCTTTTTCCAAAATTGAGATTACAACCAACCATTTCTTACTATTAGGCTTCACCTCATTAACACTTTCAAGTCCTAAAACCCTGAAATTTAACAACTAAAAGTTAGGAGCTTCAATACTAAATCGCTGACCAGTGCAGGTATGCAGGTAAAGAAAATGAAAACCTGTGCTAAAAGTGCCCATATGAAGTTCAAAACAGTAAATTAGGAAACCAGAGTGACAGCAGCGCCCACTGATATTAAACACAACAAAAATATAGGCATATACAGATAAATAAACAAAATGTGTGGCACTGCCACTTTAAACATATCCTACAACCGGGTCTGCTTAAGAAAAAAATGGAGGGTGATCCGTCCTCTTCTGTTTAGGTGGAGCGGAAGGTAGTTGGGCGTATGCGGACAGGGGAGTCTGTTTACTCCTGGCTACCCACAGAGCAGAGTGGACAAGGATGGGTCATCCATCTGCTCTGCTCTAATCAGCAGGGGAACTGTGAGCTGATCCCCTGTTAATCGGAAGACTATATACTTGTAAAGCACTGAATGCAACTTTAGCTGGCCATACATGGACAGAATTTCAAACGAAAAGTCTTAGGAAAATCTGTACGCAAATTCTCAAAATATTTGCTTGTCATTCAAAAGATTTTGTTTGCTTTTAACATTTGATTTTGGAATGAATGAACTTTAACAAATAAAACCACAAAGATTGTTAGAATTTTTTTTTTTTTTTTTTCCATCCTTCTTCAAATTTCCTCGTCACTGTGGTTGAAAACAAACGTCAATTTGACCCATTAATGGTTAGAAAAAACAAGCAAACTTTCCTAGAACCTTCTTTTCCCAAGAAATTTCTATCAAAATTCTACCCATCTATGGCCAGTTTTCATAAACTATTCAATGATGGTGAATTAAATTGGAAGTAAACTCCCACTTGACCCTGGACACAAGGAATATCTCCTAAACATGCAACGTTTAGGAGATATTCAGTGTCCCTGCCGATGATGTCACCAGCGCATGCGCTCTGAAGGAACAGCATACCCATGCTGTTCCTTCAGAGCGCTGTGCTGTGGCAGAGACTCCCGTGCGCAAGAGCCAGAGTGCCGTTATCACAGCTCGGTCAATCAAGCAGCCCGGAAATAAGTCCAGGTGAAGATGGAAGCCCTGTCAGCGGTGACAGCATGCTGCTGGAGGCCTTCTCTCTAAGGTAAGTCTTTCATAATGTACTAGTATGCAATGCATACTAGCACATTATGACATTATTTTGCAGAGGAATTTTTTTTTTTGGCAGATTACTACTGCTATTTACTGTCATTTAAAATACATGCACCAAGAGAGTCGTGCAGCAAAAGGTGCTTTTTTATTTTATTTTAAAAGTCTATTAAATGTAGTTTATTTTTGTCTGGAGTTCAGCTCTAATATGAAAAGCAAGTTCTGACAGTGTTAACAGCTAAACAGTTGATGATCTTCCAGAACTTTTAATTTGGCTCAGATTCTAAACTTAGAATATTTTTAAGTTGAACAGAAAAAGTAGAATCAATCAATTCCTCCATTGACAGCTACAGTATTCAGGCAGCTGAAGTAGTGGTGACTGTCTGAAAACTGCAGTGCTGTGTTCTGAAATGATGCAGTCCCTTTACGACCAATAATTTTCCACCTGGTAAATCTATTTTCAAAAGCAACTTTTTCAAGCCAGATTGATTGCAGAGGCACCCATGGACCAAATTTTGACTAATTTGGCAAGATTCTGGCCAAAATGTGATTCACTTTTAACAACCTTAACCTCAATAAGGGGTAGATTTACTAAAACTGGTGCACTAAGAATCAGGTGTGGCTGTTTATGGTAGCCAATCAGCTTCTAACTTCAGCTTGTTCAATTAAGCTTTGGCAATGAAACGTGGATGCCGACTGGTTTCTATGCAGAGCTGCACCAGATTTTGCACTCTCCAGATTTAGTAAATAACCCCCTAGTGACCAGAGCAGATGGGAATCTGCAGCAGCATTTTGTTCAGCACTGCACTTTGGATTTACACTTTACTTGCCCTCATGGCCTCCCTCAACTTCCCCTGGCAAGTCTCATAATTACTTACTGGTTTCTGCCTCACAGAGTCTTTGCTGCATGACCTGCTCTGCGTTGGCCAGTCTTTTCTTCAGAATCTTTAATGCCAAGTCCCAGAGTCTGTGCACCACAATCTTCAGTCCAAAGAACAGTTTGTTCTCTGCTGGGATCCTTAGCTGTCCTGCCAACTATATTTCTAATGTTTCTGCCTGGTATTCTCACTTCCTGAATGTCCCTGTATCTGAGCACTTCCTGAATGTCCCTGTATCTGAGCACTTCCTGAATGTCCCTGTATCTGAGCACTTCCTGAATGTCCCTGTATCTGAGCACTTCCTGAATGTCCCTGTATCTGAGCACTTCCTGAATGTCCCTGTATCTGAGCACTTCCTGAATGTTCCTGTATCTGTGCACTTCCTGAATGTCCCTGTATCTGAGCACTTCCTGAATGTCCCTGTATCTGAGCACTTCCTGAATGTCCCTGTATCTGAGCACTTCCTGAATGTTCCTGTATCTGTGCACTTCCTGAATGTTCCTGTATCTGTGCACTTCCTGAATGTTCCTGTATCTGAGCCTGTGAAAAAAAAAATGCAGTGTAAGTTCTGTTCCCATTGTAGCTCCCCCTTCCTCCCCAGGTTGCCCCACGCACGACATTCTTTTGAAAGTCCGGAGTTCCTACCAGCAGGATTGCTAGAAGCTTTCTACTTTACATCTAGCAGTGAACTTGATTATATAAACCTCAGCCTGGAGTTTATGAATGGCCTATCAATACATCACTCTTCTTGGACAGATTTTTTATTTTTTTTTAAACTACGCTGTAATCTGCTCCATCATCCGTTTTTTTTTTTTTTTTTTTTTTTAAATACTCATCTCACTTACCCTTAGCAGACTAAACAAGTTATTTCTGATATACAGATTCTGACTTTTTGTCAAAAGTCAACAGCTAAGCCAGCCTCTCAACCTTTTAAACACAAAGGAACCATTGAAATGACTTTCCAAACTCAGGGAACCCCACTAAAAATGACTATATCTACAACTTTTGATATATTATTGTGATGGTGAGTGGGAAGAATGCTCCTTACATTTGTAGCCATTGGGAAGAATTACCCCCGTACAGATAGCTGAAAGGATCAATGGTGTTGGTGGGAACTTATCTGAGAGGCAGAAACAGCTCATTGCCCAAGGTACCCCTAGCAACCTCTAGAAGAATCATAGGGTTCCACGGAACCATTGTTGAGAAAAACTGAGCTAAGCCTTCATCTCCATCTCTTACCACTAATGTATAAGTACTGCTCAACACAGGACAGTTACAAGTCGCCGTCACAGAAAGAGCAGTTTTGTGTCTGATGTGCGGGTTATGCTGGCTTCACCTCCTGCATGCTGCATGAGAGTGAAATAGTGGCGCCCAATGGAGAAACAGCAAGGTCTTGGTGACTTAGGCTGGCCAAAGATGGAGCAAATTAATTTCCTGCAGGAAAGAAATTGGCCAAAGATGGAGCAAATTAATTTCCTGCAGGAAAGAAATTTGCTAGATTCCAGGTACAGGTACGCAAATATGCGGCCCCACGGAAAAAAGCCCAGGTCCGTGAGGCCGCATATTTGTGTTACGTCGGCGTCAAGGGGTTAAGATTGTACACCCCTTGAGGGTTAGGGACTGATGTGAATGTATTATATATATGTAAAGCGCTGCATAAATTGAAGGCGCTATATAAGTACCTGAAATAAATAAATAAAATAAATTACTGCTAGCAATTGCATGTAAAAAAAAATCCTACAGGATGGTTGTACCCAAGTCAATCGATGGATCACCTTTGGTACAATCAGCCTGCCCATACACTGATCAAAATTCATCCGACCCCTGCAGAACCTGCCAAATATTGATTAATGTATGGCCAACTTAAAGGGGAGATTTTGTTCAGCTCCTTCACAGTGGTGAGTTCTATATAAGCTGAGAAGTTTGAATATGGCAGGAGTTTCTGTAAGCAATGAAAAAGGAAATGGTTGCTTTAACCTCCCTAGTGGTATTCCCGAGTGTAGCTCGGGGTAAAATGTCAGTACCAAAAGCGGTAACCCCGAGCTACACTCGGGCTTACCGTGCGGCGCTGCATAGGGATTCCCTGCAGAGCTTACCTTGTCCTGCGCCTGCGCTCCCGCGATGTGTCCCCTGCAGTGTCCCCCGGCCATCTCCTCCGGCCGATGCCGGCATCCAGCTTCTGTGTTCCGGTTCCTGTGACGTCGGGATGTACGGGCGCAGGCGGCGGCGGAAAATTTTAAAAAATTTCATTTTTTTTTCCAAACAGATTTCACATAGTAAAACATTGCTGTTTCAACCCATTTCACATACATTTTGTCCCTAGTGCTTTGTCCTGTGCCCTGCCTGAATTTTGTCTGTTCTTTCTGCCTGGAAACTGAGAAAAGTCCATGGCGTCCAAAAAGTGTCCCTTTAGGTCAAAAGCAGGTTTAGATCAGCTAGAGAGCCGCGATAGTAAATCAGAACCACTTGCAGAATTGAGTGATGATTCGTGGGGGAAATTTGTCATCAGACACTGAAAACGATTTTGCGACTTTGCTCAGCAATGTGCGAACTTGGCGCTCTATTTCAAATTTCAGTGTTTTTGGTTTGATTATATTATTGAATTAAATGTATTATATTATTTTTTTTTATGATTATTTATTAAATTATAATTTATGATTTCGTGTTTCAAATTTTATCATACCCGGGATGTTTAATAGACTCTTGTTCGGACAGATTTCAGAGAGTTATTCCTAAATATTACAGCCTACAATAAAAAAAAACTAAATATTTCCATGCAAAATAATGGTACTGCTTTCAGCACCAAAAATCGGAAATAATCATACCGCCAGGGAGGTTAGGGAATAAAATAGGGCAACAGTGGGAGTCTTTGTTTAGCCCACTTTATTTTTTATTTAAACCTTTTTAGCAACAACTGCCTGAGGCATTGATAATTTAAAGCCAGTCTTTTAGATGTGAAGCAAGCTCACGGAGGAAGAAATCGGATTGAAACCATGTGAAATGAATTCTACTTTTTTGTCGTGACTTTTGAGTAATTAATAGATCGGGCGTTTGGGTACAATCTGCATGGAGTCAGGTGCTCTTGAGCTTCATGCTTCGACATGGCAGACATTCTAATACAGAGTAACACAGGGGTGTGGAAATTTTTTTAAAAACTACTTGTCGAGGGACTAAATTGGTGTCCCAATCTACTAATCGACAAAAAGTCCCCTATGTGATGATTTTTTGGTGACCGGTTCTCCTTTTTGAGACATCCTGGGTCTAAAAGACCCTGCATGTCTCCCCTGAATGTAATGCAGTGCACATCGCACTGCATTACATTCTTTCCCGGCCTCGATGGTCGGGAATCTATCAACAGGGACCTGGCAGTAACGCCACATCATGCCTGGGTCAGGACAAGAAGGGGAGGGGATGTGTCCATTCTCCTCCCTTCCCTATACCGGCATCCCGGCATACCACCAGCACCCACTGAATCAATCCTGGGTCCGCAGATGTTCAAGCAGATCCCGGGATATATAGCGGGCAAGGGGGAGGCAGCTGGCACTGTGTGGAAGCAATCGGGCGGCAGTGCTTCCCCCTGACAGATGAACCCTGCTGTTTACCTGCAGAAGGGCTAAAAGTTAAAAATACTACCTGCCCGGCACCCGGAACTTCATGTCCCTGGCGTCGGGTGATATGAATTGAACATCCCTGGTAACAATAATCCAAACAACAGCAGGCTCAGCAGAAACATCTTATTTTGGCTATTTACTTTGCTGCCGTTCTATTCTGTTTAATTCAGAAACCACAAATTACTTCGGAGGGGTGCTGATCTGCTGTCCACTACTTCAAAAAATGAAGAGGTTTTCCACTTTATTACCAAAAGTCTCACCAGATTGATTTAGAAGTGGTCTACCTTTATGCCAATTTAGCCTTTTCATATTAGAACAAAGCATACCCTACACAAATGTATGGGTCAGTACTAAAGAAGTACTAGTATTGGAAAGAGAACAACTGTGATACATCTGACAATTCTCAAGAGAACTGTACTATACTGTTCACTGCAAAGCACTTTTTACATTCCAAAGGTGAATGTGTCAAAAAGCTGCCCTCCATGGTTATTTCTGCAACATTCTTCCCTGACTTTCCATAATGCTAAGTAAAATACTGCTTTTGTCTACACAGGATTAGCCCAAGATACAAGGCGTGCCTGGAATTCTACATCTTTAGAACTTTCTCTTCAGGCAAAAAAGTAAAATAACTTGAAGCAAGATTCATTTAACCGTTGGCGTGTTAGTATTTTAAACAAAGTACACAAGTTCTGTATAGAATGGTGAAAGAAAGGGCAAAAGAAAGGGGCAGATTTGGACAGCTCATGTCCTGTAACTAGCAAGCTAATTCAAGCCTATAAGGTGTAATTTATTTATGGTCTACAATAGGTTATTCAATACTATACTAGCTGAAGGGTATGTATTATCAGAACCCCTAGCAACTCCGAAAAGAGCAACACTGTGTGGTACAAATGTGCTACATGCAAATACTCTGCAGTAAAACTCTCATAAGCATTATATGATCAGTTAATAGCTTAGTTAAATTAGTGATAACTAATACTTAAAGTATACTTTAATTCTTAAAAACAAAACTTTATCTCATTTTGGATACAGTAGGAGAGAGTTTTAACTGTCAATTTTTTTTCACCATCTGTCTCCCATCAGAGTTTTTGTTCACTTCCGGTCTTACAGGCACAACTGAGAAAGTTTTGACCAAAGTGAGGGAAATCCTATTGTAGATGTCAATAGAACTAGTGTCCCAAACTAATGAAAGTTTTGACCAAAGTGAAGGAAATCCTCTTGTAGTTGTCACTAGAACTATTGTCTAGATTTCCCCTCTATTCTTGTTCTGGCGGGATTTCATTTGCTGTCTCTAGGGTCAGCAATTCTCAACCAGGTTACTGTGGGTTCCTTGAGCTGTGGTTGATTGACCTCCATTTTGATGGTGCCTCCATAGTTCTGGCGTCGATACCACTTGGCAGATCCATCTGCATGAAACCAATGATCCTTTTAGCCATCTGTAGATGTTGCATTCTAACAACCACTGTAAGGGAGGCATTCTTCCCACTAACCACCAATGCAAGGGGCATTTTACCCACAGACCAACAATGAATTGGTTTTAGCAGGGGTTCCTTGAGATCTGAAAATTATTTCAAGGGTTTCTCTGGGGTAAAAAGGTTGAGAAAGGCTGCTCTAGGTGATGAAGGTTGCAGTTGCACTTTTTTGCCCAGTTTTCTCTTACCATGATACACTACATAAAACAGATTACAGCAAAACGAACACATTAGGTAAAGAGTATAGAGACTGGGTTCCTCACATTGTGGACTCTAAAAGCAGAGGGAACTGTAGAGGCTACTGCCCAGTACCAATAGACAGGTAAGGAAATCACTCTCCAGTACAATCCAGTAAAATGCAATAGCATTTTAGATTTTAGCCTCTCTCCTGGATTTCAACTTTCAAGAAGGTGCAGAATTGTGACACAACTCTGCCTTGGAGGGGACCTCAGGAGCTTTGAGGGCTTTAGTGCAAAACTGAGAATACAGGTAGCCCAAAAATGTTGACATTTCAAATGTGGTTACCTGTGAAAATTCAATGTGCTTATTTAAGCTTCATAGATATGGTATTTGTCATATGAATCCTTCAAAAATGTAAGCTTTAGAATACCGAAGAAGCAAAAAAAACAGGAAAGAGGGAAGAGAAATTGTCTCTAAGAACAACTACTGTACAATAATTTAAAAGTGGTGTGCTTATAAATAAGTATAAGGGAGCTGCTCTAGGTAACCAATACAGAAAAACAAACTTTCTAAATTTCTTTCCTTCAACTCACTATAGAACATCAAGGAAGGTTGGTTTCGGGCGTAGACATGAATGTTTCCCTTTTTTTGACAATTTAAAGACAGAAAGAGCTAAGTTTTGGAGTGAAGCTTATATATTTTTTTACTTTTGACCGAGAGTGGAGACGAGCTGTGGTAGCTAGCACCCCGGCTGTCCATGTGGGATGAAAGGAACAAGTCTGGAGTGCAGCCATGGGTTTGGGTATGTTGTTCTTATTGTAGTATATTAGCTTTACTTGGACTGGGTACTAAAACATTTGTTAATTCTTTTAGATATGGTAAAACGAACAGCTCGAAGACCCTGATAAAAAATGTAAACTGATAAAAAGAAAAATTTGACTTTCCTGATCTAGAAGTTGTCAGAGTTTAATAATAGAGGTAAGAGTATGCTGGTCCTACCAGTAGAAAATTCATGGGACAGTACAAAAAGGAGCAATAGAATATGCACATCAATAAAAATACTTAAATAAGTTTAATGATTTAAAATAGTCACAAGGTTTATTAAGGGGTAGCTAAAGGTTACAATAAACATTAAACAGCCTCACAATAGATTAAGTCTAGTCTTAAAGGCACAGACCAATCATAAACCATTTTGAAACAATAATAATATCACATTATTCACCCAGAACTAGACTGGATGAGTAACCCCCACTAAAAAACACAGTGACCAAAAAACAAAAATGTTCAAAGGGAGGGAAGGAGCTACGGTCCTTTGCTCCTCAGCTGACCACTCCATTCTCCACAGGCAGCTCGCCTATTTGCACTGTCCCATGGTGTCCCCTCTGCATACTAGTAATTCTGGATTGACTCTCTGCACATTGCTATATATCCTTTTTAACAAACTTTGAAACAAACAAAAAAAAAAGAAACAGGGATATTTTGTTCACACATATTGTAATACATGTTTAAGCTGGCCAACTGCATCAAAGTAATTCCTCCTGGCCAGGTCTACTCTGCTCTGCCAACACAAAATGCTATTGTGGACACAGCACCAACATGGGGCAATCAGAAACAAAGTGGCGGAGAGCTACTAGGTTTAGGTCTAGCCATTGACCTGCAATACAACAAAAACAAGATATACCTGTGCTCAGATCCCAATAGCTTGTACATGCTGTATGCTAGTGACCCCATCATTTTAATTTTTGGAACATTTGTTTGATTTTCTAAATGTTAGTGGGCTCAGTGACAAGAAAATCCAAAGTAGCCGTACAAAAATGTTTTCTTGAGCAAAGGAATTCTAACTGTGCATGTGGTTAGTGTTCAGGAAAAACTATACAAGGCATAAAGCAAACCTGTTTAGTAAGTCTGGGATTCCATTCAAGGAGCTGATCTGGATGAAATTTTAAAGGCTTTTGAACTACCAATATAGTTGACTCCAGGAAGCAAGATAAAACACACTGAAGTCTCAAATAGCAGATAAAGCTTGTAAAAAATGGGGAGGGATAGTCATATTGTGATCCCTTGACCCCCACTGACAAGGCAGGAAGGATTCCCCTATCCA